CGATTATATCGTCTGCGATTATGACCGCGATTTTGCTTAGCTTGTCAGAGAACTATGGCTCTGTGTATTAAATGCTGCTCCACCTGAAAGCAGGTGATGGAGATTTACTACTAATCACAGAACCGGCTTTACTGACAAAATGTGCATGACAATCGAATTAGATTAATCGCGTTCGATTAATCGTGCAGCCCTATTTCCTAGATATTTTTCTACTGTGAACAGGACTGTGAGCTGCATTTAAAAAAAAAAAAGTTATACATTTATTTGAACTATTTTAATTGAATTTAATCTGTTTATTTATTTATTTATTTTTAACAATTTTTCAACTACTTTAACTCTATTTTAATTGTATTTTTTTAACTACTTCAACTTTATAATTTTTTTTATCTATTTTAACTATTTACATTAGCTATTAGTGTTGTATTGGCCGTTAATTAATATGTTACCTATTAATTAACTATTAATGTTTTTATATTATTAATTTGATTTGATGTATTTATTGTAACTATTTTAAATATTGTAACTATTTTATTATCAACTATTTATTTGAACTATTCATTTATGATTTACTATTAATATTCATAATTTAACTGAACAAAATAATTTTATTTTATTTTAAATAATAGTATTAAATGCTAAAAAGGCAGAATGATATCAGTCATAACATAATTACTTGCCAACATGCCATACGTTTGCATAGCATTTGTACTAAATTCTCTTTTTTGTCACAGAATTACACTCCCTGTGGCAGAATGAGGAACGAGCCGCTACAGTCACCAAGAAGACCAATGAGATCTGGCATCGTCGCCACGACTACTGGCTACTCGCTGGCATCATACAGTATCCTTAAAAAAAAAAAAAGAAAACGAGATGCTTTCAGTGTACATGTACACGTCTGAGTGTCTTTCAGATGTGTTCAGTGACGAGATCTTCCTCAACTCACTGTCTCAGACACGGTTACGCTCGTTGGCAAGATATTCAGAATGACATCAGATTCGCCATTCTTAACGAACCCTTCAAGGGAGAGATCAACAGAGGAAACTTCCTGGAGATCAAGAACAAGTTTCTGGCCAGGAGATTCAAGGTATTATGAAAAGAACTGAATTTTTCTTGTACGTAAGTGAATATATTGGAGTTAGTAAGACCGTTTTTATGTGTCTCCTGTAGCTGCTTGAGCAGGCTCTGGTGATTGAAGAACAGCTGCGCAGAGCTGCGTATCTGAACATGACTGAAGACCCTTCTCACCCCTCCATGGCTCTCAACACACGCTTCAGTGAAGTGGAGTGTCTGGCCGAGTCCCACCAGCACCTGAGCAAGGAATCCATGTCCGGAAACAAACCTGCCAATGCCGTCCTACATAAAGGTGCATCATCTGACCTCATTTTAATTTTGAGCTTCTGACTCATTATAGAAGCTGACGCTCACTGCTTTCTTGTATGTGTTTCTGACAGTACTGAAACAGCTAGAAGAGTTGCTCAGTGACATGAAAGCAGATGTCACTCGTCTCCCGGCGACCATCGCCAGGATACCTCCTGTCGCCGTGAGGCTGCAGATGTCTGAAAGAAACATTCTCAGCCGTTTGGCCAGCAGAGGACCAGACACACAGTCTCAGCAGGTACACAGTCACCTACCCGTACTGCTGGGAATTATGCTTGGACTATATCAGATTTTATAGTCTATAGTAGGGCTGCACGATAAATCGCATGCGATATTTAACGCGCATCTTGTCAGTAAAGCCGGTTCTGTAATCAGCGCTTTCCCTGCCAGCATTTTTTTAAAAAGTTGCCAGCCACCGCCAGCGATTTTCATGATTTTCACAAATGTAATGGTCTCCAGTTTATTTTGCTGTATGAATATTTGAATATGCAATGCACCAAAATAAAGATCAGAGCTTTTAAACAAAAACTAAAAACAAAAACCACTTTTAAACAAAAAAATCTGTTTTATTCTAGCTTAAAGCATTCTTTTTTTTATCAACACTTGAATATAGGTAGAGAACCGGCTTAACTGATAAGTTGTGCGTTAAATATCGCATGCGATTTATCGTGCAGTCCTAGTCTATAGTTGTATTTTGAAAATTGTGCCTGTTTGCAAGCTGAATTATGCATTAGATTTATATGTTGTCTTTAAGGTGTGTGTGTGTGTAGAGTTGGATGGATGGAGATGGGTACAGTTAGATGTCATCTTTAAGTTGTGTATATGTATGTATGTATGTATATATATATATATATATATAT